AATCAGAACGACCGATAAAAGCAATATTTTCTGATTCCATTTTGAAAAATACGAAGCAACATATAAGAATATATCAAAATTTTATTTTTATTATATTTTAAGATATTGTAAATATCAGTAAATATATTAAATAATTGATACACATGTATATAGCATAAAAACGCTCAATATTAGTAGAATCATATTAAGATGTCTTAAAAATTGTGTTTTATTTTATTTTATAACAATATTATTATTTATATTTAACGTAGCAATATGTTGAAGTTATATTTCTATTGAATAAATTTAATTATTTATGTATTTATGCTCCCCATACATTTATATGTAAATATAAATTTAAATTCACACATATGTTTCTACATAAATAGTCTATGTGTATGCGTTCTTAAAATGAAGTTATAGAAATATGAAACCGTATCAAATAGCAATGTATATTTATATTAAATACGATTAACTGTATATATTTGTGTTTACTTTTCATGTTTTGTTTACTTACTCGAGTGTAGATAGTATATTCAGATATATTTATGAAAATACTATTCCTCGGGTTCTCTTTCTAGCTATCTCTATATGTATATACAGTACTGTATATACAGAAGGGTGGTCTTGACCTTCCGAACAATTTGATTCATCACCGAAAAAAAATCAATAAGCTTATAAATTGTAGAAAAAGGTTTTCTCTTCTGAGAGATAATGAGATATAAATATTGAAAGTTTTGTAAATTCACGTAAAACAAACATTAGTCGAACAATATAAATTTGAGAATGATCATTTAAACAGTTCAACTTTTAGCCGTTTAAAACAATAAAAGTACCATTAAAGTTCAATTCGAAAAGATCGCCTTTCAGGTATCCAGAACAATGTTTTTAGCACTTGGACTAGCCATTTATCGTAAATGACATCACAAAACTTTCATTTCTTATATCTCGATAAGGAAAGTCAACCAGAAAATATCGATATTATTTATATCTTTCCAATAAGTAAAAAGTGAATTTTTAACTAGGAAAAAAACATTTTTATATATATTTTATTCTTATTTTTTAATCTGAATATGTATTAAAATTATTACTGAAAATGTTAAATTAATTTAGTTTTCAATAATAATATATATAGCCTATGTAAACTAATTGTGCAAACTAATTGATATTCATAGTATTAAATTTTTAGTATGCAGTAGATATATTGAGTTTTAATATGCATTACTGGCTGTTGTAATTCATTTGTATATTTTAAAATTTATATATTGGTTTAATTATATCTTTCTGAAATTATATACAAAAATATTTTTAATGCTAAATTAAATTTCTAGTGGATTGTTTAATGTACAGTACAAGTAACTTAAAATTATGCAAACTTATTTAATGTGTGTAGTAAACTAAATTATAATTAATGTTCTTATTCGTATAATTCAAATGAAATTAAACATTATTTTCTTTATATTATACAAATAAATAAATAAATTAATTAATTAACAATAAAAACGGCTTTTAATTGAAATTAATAATGAATTTTTATTATTTGAAAAACATTTTTAATTATTTAAATTATAATATAATAGCTTTTTTTATATTTAGTATTTTTAATTTTTAATGTGAAATAAACATAAATTAAAATTAAAATATTCAATGAAAAATAATAACTTGAACTGTTTTTCTCTTTTACTTTTATTGTGACAGTTTCTTTCCTTAAAATGTCACTTTTCTTCAAAAAATAATCCCTTCTTGAAAAAACCTTCTTAAGGGGATTAAATGCCAAACTCCGCTGGCACCATCTAGTGAATAAATTACAAATTATCTTAGCTAGATAAATCGTTTATTTCATTTTTGAAGTCGTTCCGGCTTCTTTTCAATTTTTAAAGCTTTTTAAAAATTGAAAATTCTCTTTGTTATAAAAAAATATATACAAAAGAATCAATTCATAAAAATCAGCAAGCTTATTTACAAAGTAATCGATTTTATACGCCAGCATAATTTATTTGCAAAGAAGTTTGTAAAAAGAAAAATAAGAGGAAAAAGTTAAAGAAAAAATAAAATAAAATTGAAACGATAAACAAAAGAAAAATCTGTCAAAATGCAGATAAAAATTGTTTAAAAGAAGGGACTTCGATAGTGGAGTACTCATTGATTGTGTCGTCCTTCCGAGTGCAAAAACATTTTCTTAGCAATGGGACAACGTGTGGTGTTGAGTAGTCTCAGATACAAAGATGACTCCGGTAGTTATTGGGACATAATGACACCCTCTGTCATGTACTTAGATAACAGCGGCACTTAAACTGTCGATTGCCAGAAATATATTGCTCAGTCAGCCCGGACACCTAGTATTAAGGAAACTGGATGTGTCCTTTGTGATGGATGACTCCAATATCGTCGCTCTCGACACGTGATCGATGACGTCATTACCACAATCCATGTATTTTAATAATGTAGACTTTCAAATTTACAGCCATCTTTGTGTGTAACGTTTGATCCTATCCGTTCTCCATCAAACGCATTTAATAAGTTTGCTATAAAGTTATTGCTCTCCGAATGTAAACCAATTAAACTTAATTCCCGTTATGATAACATTTTAATTACGTTCTTATTTTTATTTTTCTTATTCTTTATTTTATTCTCTCTCCTCTTCAATGTATTCGATGGTAATTAAATACTTACCCAAAGAAAATTACGTCGATTACGAAAGATCAAATACACCAACTAATTATCGTTTAAAGAAAAATTTATTTCGTTTCAACATATTACATTTCAGAAATTAGAATTTATTAATGTTCTGGAAAACATTTTCCATATTTTCTTTCGACGTTCCAAAATTCATCTTTAATTAAATCCATCCAAAAACTACAAATAATAAATTGCAAATATTCTTATCAAGATTATGATTTAATGCTTAATTAAAACTTTAATAATAATTATCTCTACTCACATCCGTGTCTTTTTCTAACGCAGTATTTCAAGCAATTGTGCTTATTTCTGAAATTGTTGGTATTTCCATCGCATCCCGAATAGATGAAAGCCTCGCATGTCTTATTCTTAGAATTGTAATACCATTTCATTATTCTGTCGTTGCATGAACCTTTTTTGGGTGCAAGCCTACAATTAATCCTTCCATGATCTAAATTGATTTTAAATAAAACCATTAATAAAGTTTAAAAACGTACAAAATCACGAACAAACTTAAAAATCGTTACGTTTTGCAGATACGAGAAGAATGTTTAGTATCAAAACTAAATACAGAATGGTCGATGATTTCATTTTTTTTTCTTTAATTCAAAATCAGCAATTTTCGTCCTCAATTTATATAATCAGACAGGATAAGCTAACAGGAAAACGGAATGAACCTATCTTTCCCGTATATAATTTTCTGCTTACACCTGTCATGTAAATGTCAGAGGTTATTAGATTTCGAAGTTAATATATTTTTAACTTTAAAAAAAGCTATAAAATGTATAACAAAATATCAATTTTAGTAATGTTTTAATATATAAAACAAATTTTCTATGCTATTCAGGATTAAAAAGAAAAATTGTAGCAAATGAATTGGTGAATTATAAAATGTATCAACAATTTTTATAGTTTTATGAAATTTAATTTATAACATTTAAAAACATTAATATTTTATTATGCTACTCATTTATATTGTAAATTATAATTAATGATTACTGTAGAATAACGAATAATCTTCTTTTTTTTTTAAAGTAAACAAACAATACATTAAAATATAAATTATTTTTTTAATATAAATCTAAAAATAATCAGATTTTTATATAACAGAAAAATAACTGCTTCCACTTCCTAATTTCCGAAAAAATTCTATAAATCATCTTCTTTCTTGACATTTTTCAAATATCATCATTCAACACAAATTACTTCTTGGATTCTAGTATTCTAGTCATCCGAAGAATTTTGTTTATTGCACAAACCTTCTGAAGTATTATCCGTGTCCATTATCGAGTTAGAAACTGACTTAATCTTAAAAAACATTAATAGCAAAGTCAAGCATCGTCTATGTCCATCATGAAGTTACTTAAAGAATACTAATGGAAGATTCTCTTTCCATTAATATATAATAACATATATACATGTGTTTTATTAACTCAGAATAATGAATCTAGATTTGAGAATATTTATTCAGTAAACTTTAGATGATATATATTTTAAATTGTAGTTTTTATTAATTTTAATTTCCTTTCAACAAATATAGTGATGATGATGACGATCTGTGGAAAGCTAAGAATTAAGTTAGGGGCTAACAAATAGAAATAAATTATATTAGTCGTGTGTATTATTATATTTTATTATATTTTACTTAAATAAAGCTACAAAAATTTGTATCTGTATTATATTTAAATTAAAACATAAAAAACACCCAATTTAGCTTTATTTTTAATTAAAATTATATTTTTAGAGGGTAGATTATAACTCCTTTATCTTGTCTTGGCTACACTAGTAATGATGACGATAACCTATATTTTTTTAAGCGAGAAGATTAATAATTATGCTAAGTTTAACAGTTACTAGATGGCTGTAACTATAAAATATGTATATATAAATATTTTTCCTTCTTTATATGAAAAAATTGAGTATAAGAAATAATTTAACGATTTAATTATACTGTTAACTCAACCATACATAATTTTCTTGTAGAAAATTCATATATCACATTCTATTAACAGCAAAAAAAAAAAAAAAAACAGTTGTTATTCTTTATGTTCATAATGAAATTGTCTTTCTTTAATATTTATAATTTTTTTTGGTATTTTCTTTCTAATTATAATAAATAAAATACTAATGAAGCGTGTAAAAAATTTCGTGGCTATCTATTACAGTGTTTATTTATTTATAACCGTGGTAAATTAACGCATCTATCAAAAAATAAGTTTTAAATAATTAATAACTTGTACATGTTATAAATAATTTAATATTGTTTGGATAATTTTTTATTGTAAAAAGAGAATAAACAAGCTTTAATTTATTTTAATTATATATAAATTGATATAAATTTTTATGAATAGGAAAATTGAAGAGATAAAGTGGATTTAGTGTCAAGTACAATTTTCCACATCAAGGCCTGAGAAAGCACAGATTGTGTTAAAGGAAAATAAATTTCTTTCTAAAGATACTCTGACTGTAAAGAAAAGTATGTTCTTTCTGTAGAAAATATATTAACAAAAACATTTTTTGTCATTATAAAACTTTTGTGATAACCTCCAAAAAAAGTAAATTAATTTAGAATGATCGAAGCTTCATTTATATGATGTGTTGAACGCCTTTAAATAAATTACTTAATGTTTTATATCATCGAATGTTATTTATTTATAAAAAATAATTCATTAATTTAAATTAGAAATTGTTTTCGGTTACTATATTTATTGTTATTGTAGATTATTACCTTATATTTAATAAAATATTGAAAGAAATATGCGAGTATATATTTTTCAATATTTTGTCTGACAGTTTATTAATTTAAAGGATTACTTTGGTTATTTTTAAACATTTCGCTAAAATTTTCGAGTGATCGATGGTTCTTCACGCCGAAAAATTCATCAAGTGAGACAAGAAAATGTCAAAAACAAGTTTCGGGTTTCTTCCGGCGTTTATTCACTGAAAGGTCAAAGTCAAGGTTAATCTTTAGTTGGATGCGAAAGACTTTTACGAGTTTTCATTTTTTTCCTGTATAAAAAAAGGCTTATTTTTTTTTGCTATTAAAAATATTTATAAGTAAAAGTTAATGTAAAATAATCTTAAATTTCTTTTTACAAAATATTCAATAATCATCAGAGAATTTTATTTATTTATTTGCAGTACAGAATTTTTTTTAATCGAAATTAATTTTGTTTTTCCTTTCATTATTAATTTAAAAAAATAATAAAATTATTAAATTAAAAATGGATTTTTTCCTATTCCAATAATAATATAAACAATAATAATATTAAAAAAAATACCATTAAGTTTAATACGAATGTTATTTTATATTCCTTACGTGTCTCCATCTGGTGGATGGATATGTCAACATTCTGAGTTCAATGACGTTTTATCGAGGTATTTTCACGTAGGTGTTTTTTGGTCAAGAAACACCTGCATAACATAACCTAATTTAGTAAATAAAACATTAAGATAAACATTCAAATTGTTCAACTAAATAATTGATAAAACATTAAATTCTTGTTAAATATTAAAGTTTTGTATAATAGACGTATAATTTATTAAACTGTAAATTAAAATATTTATCCATTATAATTAAACTGTAAAACAAAATATACTCTAATTACAAACACGTTAATATATGTTCTATATTTAAACTAAATTTTAATTCTTAAAATATCAATTATTTATTTACGCCTCATGCTTGATTGATAAGAGTTCAACACTTCATATCACAAGGTTAATCATTTAATTTATCAGATATATTATACCTTACACAAACTTACGAATTATCAAGCCCACGAACACGCCCTTTTAGGAGTATTTTTACTATTTAAAATTCCAAATATTTAAAAGTACGTGTCAAGGATATTTATGAATTCTCTCATGGGTTAAACACGAAGAAAAACTAGTCCTGTATGCAAATATCCCAAAAAATTTGTCATTTGTTAAGCTGTATGGAGGTATCTGTCGATCTCATACGGTCGGATGAGAAATTAATTATTATTAAATTTATTTCTAAACGATAAACAATCGCGATGATTCATAAATTAAGTAAGTAATGTGTAGGTAGAACTCTTTACAAGGACATAACTGAATGACATTAAGGTGGGTGAAAGAACTTGATAAATTAAAACTAAAATTTTACGTTAAAAATATAAAGCAGACATTTAAAAAATAAAAATTTTTGTATATCATCTGTGTGGCATTTTATTAAAAGGAACTGTAAAAAACGTATTTGGTGTCATTATAATTGGTCTAAATATGATGTATCCTGTGTAATAATTAAATAATGCTCCTCTCAGAGATGATGAGTAATTAGAAAATTCGTCTGATGTATCTGTAAAATATAATATCAACCAGTGATAAATCTTACAGTTAATTTTTACACTATTCGTAAAGCGAGTGAAATTAATTAATTGACTATATAATTAATTATGCTAAATAAAGTCATAATTTAACTCCATCTGTTGTAAATGGGTTAGGATATTCCTAACCTCAATTCTGTAAAGCGACAATTTGTCAACTATATTATTAATTAATGTACTTCATCATTCACTGTCACAGTAACAAAAACTTGCCTTTTCTAGCGTTGACCCGAGGAATAATTCTATGATACACCTTACTAGTTCGTTGTTAGATATTGTAACTTTGTGTGTAACGTAAAACTTTCGTCATTTGACCTATTTGTCTTTCTTTTATTTTTTAATAATATTTATAAGATTGTGTTATTTGTTCATGAAACTCAAGAGATGCCAGTTTTTTAATATGCTAGTTGATGTATCCTGTATCTAAGAATTATCTATCCTGTTTTAAATATTTATGTCATAATAATTACAATTTTATTCTAATAAAGAAGAAACGAATTTACGATACATGCAATAACCTGCTTTCTGTATTTTATTATAATGAGAGTTTAAGTTAAAATAAATGTTAGAACTATACAAATATGCATTACGAAAACAAATTTTTTTTACTGTTTTTACATTTCTTACATTTTCACATTCAATAAATTTAATAGACCTATTTTAATACAATATGTCTACTAAATTTATTACTCTTAAGCTATTTATTCTACATATGATGGTTTATCATAATTTAATAAACTACCGTACGTAGAATAAAGCTTAAAAGTAGTGGTATTAAACTGTGCGAAGCCCTAGGCAAGCGTACTTGCAATATTCATGTAAATTTATATAAGGCAGGGGAGATCGCTATGGCCCACAAGTTTGGATTATTATTTGACCAATTTAATTTTTTCCTAAGAAATGACTAAGGTAGACTCTAAGTAATAGTTTAGTTAGCCTATATCTTGGGGGAAAATAATTGAAATTGTTCAAAATAATAAACCAAATTTGGTGGGCCATAGTGGGCTCCCGTACCTTAATTTAAAGCATGCAACACATGAAACTTGACTGATTTCTATCGGAATCCTAATACTAGGCCAAGAAGGATACGCTTGTGCGTGTTTGAAACCAGTAAAAACTGAGACTCTAGGCAATAGCCTAGGTTGAAAGTTGCATACGCTTTAAAATCATTTTAATAGAGATATCCTACTTGTAGATTCATAATATAAGTAAAAGAAGATAGTCTTATTTACTATAAATACATACATGCGAATGCATATAAACGAATAAGGAGTATATAGAGTATATATATTTTTA